ACCTTGGAGGATAAACCTGTGTGTTTACCCCAGAACAAGTACAGTGTGGTCAGCAGAAGTTCTCCCCACTGAACCTGCCTTGGCCCTGGGCCCTCAACTGGGAGCTATGTTTTGAGTAAGAATGTAGTTCAGTTTCCATTTCCATTCCTTTGCTCATATTGACATATTGGTGAAAGGAATGCTTGTTCACTATTTTCACATAGTTGTTTAGATATGTTTCTGATAGTAATAACACTTAGTCATTATACCTGAACTATATTTGATTTGAACTGAGCTGTATGAAGCCTGTGTATACCATTACAATATACTGAAAGGCTATGTATATCATTACCAAATCCCTGAGCCATCCAGTTTCTCTGAATATTTTATCTCTCTGCTATCCCACTGAAGGACCCTTATCAGCCTCAGAAGATACTGATTCACTCTAGAACTAACATCAAAAGTGCATTAGTAAATTAATGACTGAAACATGAGCAAAGCTAACCTCTTTGGGCCAAAGTCTTCTTTGTTACATATGTGCTACTCCATTGAAGTCAGGAATAGATCAAAATGCATGTAGCTGAGAACAGAATTTGATGAGTTATGTCTATTATTTACCAACATATCCTAATAATATTTTTAGTGATGTCCTTTTGTTTCACATATCAGCTTTTGTAAGCTGCCATGAAAACTGAGAAATATAATGTATTCTATATCCAAATAACCTACTGCTATACACCTTCCATAACTACTGGGTGGGTTATTAAAGGACAAAAGGATTCTTTCTTGATAATAAAATACTGCATTTTGGCCTTTAAAAAGTGGATATTTTTCATTATTCTGAGACAGACACAGTAGAGGTCCTCCCAAAAATTATTGTGCTTAAATTTTTTCTGGGTGGAGGAGATTTGGATGTAATTAAATTTATTTCCAGAAATATCATATTGTAACATTTTGCCCAACAGTATTAAGAATTACATGATTTCTTATTCTGAGGTCAACATAATATATTAATATGATAGGCAAGCACAATTCTCCTGCAAATTAAACTGTAGGGCTACTTCTAAACTACATCCCTTTTTCAGAAAAGGGATGTAAATTAGACGTATCACAATTACTAATGAAGCGGGAATTAAAATCTCCCGTGCTTCATTAGCATAAAAATAGCTGCCGCTTTTTTTCGGCACGGAGCTTTGTCAGAGAAAAGTGCCAGTCTAGACGCTGATCTTTCGAAAAATAAAGACTTTTCCGAAAGATCCCTTATGCCTCTTGAAAGAAGGGATAAGGAATCTTTCAGAAAAGGCTTTATTTTTCAAAAGATCAGCGTCTAGACTGGCACTTTTCTCTGACAAAGCTCCGTGCTGAAAAAAAGCGGCAGCTATTTTTATGCTAATGAAGCACGGGAGATTTTAATTCCCGCTTCATTAGTAATTGTGATACGTCTAATTTACATCCCTTTTCCGAAAAAGGGATGTAGTCTAGACATAGTCTAGTGAGGGTATTCATCATAAAGAATTTGTCTAATACATTAATGTATGATTCTTTTTTAATTGTTCCTACGCCATTCCCATACTCCCCAATTTACATTTCCTTTATATACTTGCTGTTATATAAAGATTGCATTGGGAGACTGATGATATCTGGGGGTTTTCCTTAAAGCTCCAGTTCCTGGAGAACTGTTATTACATGAAAATCTCCACTTTTACTTTAAAGCAAAGTGTCTAGCCCTAGAATGAGGCTTATAAACATGAACCCTAATGGCACAATACCTAATGACAAATAAAAAGAATACAAAATGTAGTGTTTAAAAAAAACCCTCCAGATTTTTAAGACAGTCTTATGATTTTGATTCTCACTCAAGATTGACAACTTGGAGTTGGCAATACTGAACACTGTTCAAAAGAGAAATCTAGAAAGAGAAGACATGTATTATACAAAATGAAAACAGTGCATCAGCTGAAAAGGAAAGGTTAAAAAAAAACCTTTACATATCACCCCAATGCTATCAGTAAATCACACATCTTTGCTCATTCAGGATTGCAATAGTGAATTAAAAAAAAATACCCAGACCATCTTCTGAAACCATTGACCTTGGTATTAATTTATATATATATATATATATATATAATAATATGTCATAAAATATCTTTAACTTGTTCAAGAAAACAAATGCTTTTATCACATTTTCAATAATAAACACTAAGTGAGGGAATGACAACTTCCCAGTCCTTATGATCACATGTGTTCCAATTGTCAGGAACACATAAAACACCTTTCCTTCCTTTCTAATTCCCTTTGTATAATAGTAGGTACTATATCTACATAAAACGTGTGTGTATCGAATTTAAAACTATAAAGCCATTACAGTATTTACTTGGCATTTCAATTTCACTTGGTTCAGTGAATTAGTTAAAATTTGGTGTGGCTACCTTTCTTCCCCATAATTTTTTTAGTATAGTTTATTTGTTGTGACCCCTTCCTAATATTAAATACCTAATGTTAAATGGTGTGATTATACTGATGTACTATTTTGCATTGTATATTGCATGAGGTTATAAGCTATTGAGGTTCAGCATATGCTACTCAGCTAACTGGATATCCATCTCTGTGACTTACACAATCTTTCAGACTATCCAGAGCTTTTGCTGTTATTTTAACAGTGTATAACACACACTTATTCGAAATAGCTCTATGCAGAGAATCCATGCATACACTGTAGCTCTTGCCACCAAATAAAAGGTGACATCCCCCATTAAAACCCATGAGAGTTTTTCCATTTACCTAAAAGATCCAGAATTTCACACAAAGCCTCATGTTTATCTCTCCATGTCTACATCCAAACATCCCCATTTAATTTATCTAAAGCAAAGCTGAATGTTGGGGAAAAGGAAAAGCCATGTGATTCAAATTTAGAAATCAATAGCTCATGTAATATTTCAGATGTAGATAGGTTGGAAGACAAGAGGCACTGTGTAATTGTTTTAAAGATGACATGCATAAGGATCATTTCATTCAGTCTACATGCAGTGTTCTATATCATTAATACTGTACAGCATTGTGTAAGGGAAAACTGAAATTACAGGGAAATTTAAGACAGTAACTTCCAAATTTTGATTTTGACTGGAAAACTGTGGGTTACATCCCTCCTCTTTTAGGGTATGTCTACACTACAGGACAATGTTGAATTAAGATTCGCATCTTCAGCTATGTGAATTGCATAGCTAAAGTCGAAGTAGCTTAACTCAACTTTTTGGTGCTGCCCACGCTGCAGGAAGTTGAAAGGAGAACACTCTCCCTTCAATTTCCCTTATTCCCATAATAATTTCCCTTATTCCCTACATCCCAAGCAGGATGACCAATATTGACCGGAGTGCCCCTTTCAGTTTGAACTAGACCCACTAATTTGACCCCTGGCAGATTGACAGTGGCAGCTTCTATTGTTCTCTGTTATGTAGACATACCCTTGGGAACAGTGGTAAGGACCACAGTTTTGTGTCTCATCCCAAAAATGGTACTTGCAGTAATACCAGTCCCATTTGAAATACGCATGGGATGCACTCACAATTGGACCAAAGAGAAGAGACCCACATGTTATGTCACCAACATTACTTCTAGCTTCATTTAAAGTTTTCCGAAAGGGCTCATCCAAATTCTAACATGGGTAGCAATATTAAGTCTGTAAGAGCTGACAAGTTCACAGTCTATGCTGGGATGGTTTCATTCTCCTCCTCCCCCTGCATTTTTTTAGATATTGAGTAGTTTAAAAAAAAAGAGCATCTTCCTATATCTGTTCTGTCTTCCCGTTGCCCAAGATCTCTAAGGCTAAATAAATGCAACAGGAAGAAAGCATGCTGTATTTTAAACCTTAATCTTTTCCACAGACCCTGATGACTAGTTAAAATTGTGTGTTTAATCACCCAGGATCTCCGACTTCTGGTCGAGCTGTACTCTTGGGTGAGCCTGAACTATCCATCTAAACCAAGCAACAGTGTTTGTTCTTGGATTGCCAATAGTATATTGATCTAGTCATTGCTGCTTAATACTAATACTGAAATGAAGAATGACTGTAACTGAGATAGCACACCTCATTTAACAATGGGTATTTAAAAACCTTAGCACCCTTAGTCTCCAAGAAGCCCTTCAAATGTGGAATGTTATTTTTTATATTATCTGTAATATGAGATAAAAAAGACTGTATGTGAAAGACAGGTCATTTTTATTGAACTTTTCCCTAAACCACTGATAAACTAGTTTGAAAAGATATTTGAAAAGAGCTGTAGCCAACAAAGTGATGCAATTACACTTGTATAATACTACTGTGATTTTTTTAATATAATGTGCTAATACATTGTTCAGTGTTTCATTTGGTATAGTTTCAACAGAATTACACCACTTCCCAAAGTAGATCTAGCCAATATCTGATTGATTCTGGTCAGTGGGGATTGGATCAGTTCAGTGTAATTTCCTCTCTTGTTGCTTTCATTTCTATTAGGGAGGCTTTTGGTTCATGGAAATCAATAGCCTTACAGATGCAAAATGTGAAGTTGGCTTTTTTTTTAGTAAGTTTCATTTCTGTCTGAATTATAAAGAAATATATTTCCCCCCTCCAAATATGTGCCCTGCATGTTAGTTATTTGGCACACTCCAAATTCAACTCATAAACAAATAGTAATTTACATTTTCTCTCTTCACAATTTATTTTTTTAAGAGTAAATGAATATGAAGAGTCCAAAGATATTTTCCACATGCAGATTCCAGAATCTGCCACTTAAAATGTAAATGGCACTTAACTGTTTTGCAAATTGAGTCCTATTTGTCTCAGCAGAATCATTAAAGCTATGATTTAGCCCAAAATGGACTTTATTATTCCATTTAATTATACTGGAGGATTTAGCCTACAAGCCTGTAACAATCCATTCTATAACACTGTGAACGTTGGACAAACAATAATTGACTGTGTACGTACTATAGCTTTATTTTTGTGAGAAATATGATTCTAATACTTTCCTTACTGATTACAGAAATTGAAACAAGCTGAAAAAACAAGGGAAGATTCTGAGAATAGATTATCTACAATTTCCTTGGAGTCTCTCAATACATTTAACAGCAATAATGTCATTTTATTAGAAAAAGAGAAGAATTGTCTGAACAAGGTTGAAGGACAAAGGGAAGAAAATGGAAAGAATGAAGAAGCTTCTTTAAATAGCTCTGATAAGCATGGAGTAGACAATTTAGAATCCTTGAGTGATTCTTTATATGATAGCTTCTCATCCTGTGCCAGTCAAGGCTCTAATGATGTATAAAGACACTTTCTAGTGGGCTGTGAATGGAGCACTTATGGAACTGAGGGAAAAAAGGAACAACTGTTGAAAAACTTCATCCTAAATTGTTCAATTCACAGCGGGGTATTTCCTGACTTATTTTCATGACACAGCAATAAGAAAAGACAAGACTGTGATGCGTGAGACTGAAAATTGAACAGAAAAGCTGTTATACAAAATGTCTTAATTTTGCACTTTTATGAGTATTTGTACAGAAGTTGTAAAAAATTTTTGAAAAAAATATATTTGTAGAAGAAAGCAATAAATATTAAATGGTGCCATGCTCCTGAAATGACAGAATACTAACTTTTAAAAGTTGATGTTAATATTAACAAGCAAAGTTAGTGGATATTTTAAAGAAAGATTTATAATTGTTCTAGTCTTAAAACTGTATGTAGAAACACTGCTTTAACATAAACCTGGGACTGCCAAATTGTCTGTAATAAACCTTCTTGGACCACATTTTAAAAACGTACATTTTGTAATTTTTTTTATTTTAGTGCAATTTCAGATATGTTTCTCTAGGGATATGTGCATTTTAGTTGGTGTAATTCCTTATGTATCTGTTGATACTTCAAGAGGGTTTTGATGGTATGAGAATGGTTGGAATCAAATGCCCAGATCCCACTATACTTCTGCATCTGAGCAGCCCCACTGAGTTCATAAAGTTACTCATGTGCATAAGTGTTTGGAACATCAGGGTCAAAGTGATTTGTCATTTGATTTTGCCTGAGTAAAGGACTGCAGGATCTTGCCTTTATTGCCAACTGCAGTATCTACTTTTATATCTTACATACATCTCCTCCCTCTGTAACCATTTAATATAAATTTCTAAAGGTGGTATGTTGATTTTTCCAGCTCAAACCAACTTGGTTTTAACTCCATCTTGGAATCCTGGAAAACTGAAACAAAATTTGTATTTGTGATATAAACTTTTTTTAAAAAGAAAAAATGTTTTGGTGCTAACATCTGTTAATTCAACATATCTTTTTCTCCCTTATAAAGACTTTATATGTAAGGGGAAGTATATTTCAGAGGTTATGTGTATTTTTTCTAGTTGTGAAGTATTTATAACTGCTTTTGTACAGCAATTTATCTGTTAATTAGGTATATTTGGAAAATTTCTAGACTCTACTGTTATTTAGCAAATATCTGTTAATCTTTATGATATTGTATGATCAGTGTTATTTTGTTAATACTTTGTGCAATTTGTTACATTTAATTTTATATTTTAAGTAATGATGTCAGATTTAAACTTGCATTGTCTTTTTGGAACTTATTTCTAAATAAAGTTCATATCACATTTATAGGAACATGTATATTTTCCCAGGGACAAGCAGTCCATATTAGTTTAATCAGATGGGTTTGTGAATTAATTGTCCAAGAAAATATCATTGCAAGTAAGTCCTAATAAGCCAAGGGAAGCAAATGAAATAAACACATTTGAATAAAAGAACACACTGATACCATATGCATGCAAAACATCTTGCGAGCCATTTCCTTTCTCCAATCAACTAGCCCTCAGTGCTCCAGAAATAATAAATGTGCAGATGGAATTCAATCATTCAAATGAATTCTCGACATGGCAACTAAAAAGTAATTTAAGCTTAATTCAAACCCCTCTGCTTGCAGACAAGATTGTGAGCGATCAAAGGGAAGCGTGTGGGTTGCCGAAGGATGAGGCTGGGGAAGGCGGCAGGTTGTAATGGGCTGTACAATGGAAATCATCATTTCACTCCAGCTACTTCATCTCCCAAATGAAGTTCGCCGCGGATTGTAGGAAAGAAAAGCGGCGCCACGTGGGGGGAGGCCCCAGGAGCCGCCAACTCGGGAGGGTACAGTCCCGGGGATGCTCCTCGCTGCTGCGTCCCGGGGGGAAGCGCCTTTGGCGGGTGGGCCCTGCCCCGGCGGCTCAGCGAGGAGGGTGCGTGTCTGGCTGCCAGAGGGCGGGGTGTCAGCCCGGGACAGCGCTGGGCTCACGAGGCGGCCTCAGCCAGCGGGCGCTGCTGCGGGCCGGGGAGGGCGCTAGTGCACGCGGTCGCGGCGCGGGGGGAGGGCGCGCTGGGTCACAGCTCCGCTGGCGAGCGCTGCCGCTGCTGCTCCCCACGCCCCCCAGCCCAGGGCCCGCCCGCCTCC